ATCATAACGTAATTTGAGACAAACGAGAAAACGATATTCTAGTTAAATTAAACAGTTGGTCGGTTATGTCATATTTACATGCTTTTTAAAGGTGACTTTAAGTTGATAATACTGATACGTCTATCGACGCAACGCATCACGCAATCAAATAAGTCATTATTCCCAGTTTACAGCCTCTTTTTTTATAACAATCATTGTTGTGTAATTACATTTCAATTTTCAGCTTTGCTTCAGCTTCATTTTTCAGCTTCGTCATTTTGTATGAAACGTACACGATGTAAGATCATGGTGGCATTATTGGTGATATTTGACCTATGACCTATTAAGAATCGACAAATCACTGTAATATTGTTCCTGAATAGATTGTCTTATATGTATTTAACTCAAGTTCGTTACTCCAGTTTATTTCGATAAAAATGACGTCATATTTTGAACAGCTGTATTGCTTCACTGACCCATGAATAATTTAATAATACCTGTCGTCCCGAGGCTGTTGAATCGTAAAAAACAACGGCTGTCGCAACATTGGGACCGCGTGATCACCGAATTCCTGTCGCCTGCTACTGACGTCGGAGCAGTTCAATTTCTGAGGCTATGAATGCGAGTTATTTTCATTTTTCAGTCTGTTCGACAAATGTTCTGATAGAAACTCCTATTAAATCAGCAGACTTAATTTATTCATATGCACTATCTGTGATACGTCTGATTTTAGACCCAATTAAAACGAATTAGCTATTTAAAGGTAAAAGATGGACGAAAACACATGTTCGATGCCTCATATTACCGTACTGATTTCCGCTGGAGAAGTCTAATAACCTTTTGCCGTCTCTGGCCTCTAATTAAAGGGCGGTGGTCGCCGCGCCGTGTTCTGTTCGGTATGGGACACATAGCGACGTATACAACGCATGTAGAATAAATTGCTTCTTACATGAAAGTCAAGCACGCGCTGCGTGACGACCGCCCTTTAATTACTAGTATACCTTATAGTCTAGTGCGGAAATCATTTACATATATTGTCACCGTCGCTTAACATATGCAAATTGGGACATTTAAATTTAAATCGAAAGCGAAACATGCGTGATCGGGACAATATTACAGTTTTTAAATTATAGCATTATTAATTTAAAAAAAACAAAACATATGTTTTTTTTTATCGTGTATTGATATTGCCACGCCATTCAGCTACAACCTCCTCATAGTTAAAATTTAAACTCGCGTATAAAGACCCTGAGCGACTAAAAAGGTTATAGTTCTATTAACCCCACTATTAATCCCATTAATAAGTGCTGTGTTTATTTGGAGTGCATACATTACGAAAGTATTATCGTTACATATATTGTGTTGTTGTTGGTGAACAAATATCTTTTAGTGCAATCACAATATTTAGGTAACATGATCACTCCTAACCAAGACTGTTCCCAATGAAGTAGGTTACTAAAAGTTAGACTAAAAGTCAAGCAAACAGATTTTCGGTTAATATCATAGCGCCCTCTTTTGGGGCTCCACACAATCCGATCCACAGTGTAGGAGAGATGAATATTACAAACAAACAAAAATATAGAAACAATATGAGAAACATAAAAAATATCCCTTTAAAGCTGGACATTATAGATTTTTACAAATCTATCCTGATTTTTCTATTTTGTATCTCGATTATAATAGTTTACGTATCTAAATATTACATTGATCGGCATATTCATGTCTGCTCAATAATATTATAATACACTTATTGTCTATGATTAACAATTTGATTAAGGGACGACGTCAAAAGATCGATGTCGGATAAAAAACTTATTTGCTTTAGTTTGGGGGTGGGGGGTTTTGACCACAAAAAGTTTCATCCT